TTTCATAAAGGCTTTGCCATTTTAACATCATTACATCAAAGGTTGCTGCTTTTAAAAGCATTTTGCTTCATCAAAAATTTTATTTTATTATTAATGCATTTGTTTACATACATGTAAATAATTTAATGCTTAGAAGAAAACACTGGGACTTTTAACAGCTTTCAACTTTCGATATCCGTCTAGACTGATGGTTAATGAAGATAATAAAACTGGACTTCGACAAATCACCAATCTTTATTTTCGCACATATCAAATCATTTCTGAGTAGATAAGTTACTTCTAGATCATAAACAATTACAATAATTTTTATATACACGGGTAAAGGAATATGATGTCATTTTAAGCAAGTGGGCATAGTAACATGGATATGTTAGCAGTGACGTAAGCTAGGAAAAGAATGACATAATTTCTTGTGAGTGGTATTTATACCGAAGTAAATGCAGTTGTAAAGCTAAACTGCTATTGGTTACTTTTAGTTTATTATGTAACATGGAACAATCTCGAATTTGGGAGAGCAGATGAATTTAGGGAAAGAGCATAAAATCTAGAATAGTTAATTTTGAGGTCGCCAATTATTCTTAAAGCAGCTATCATATGTTGTTAATATCTTACATATATATACAGTACAAAGTCTGTAATCCGGACTCGTCGGGAGTTTGGCGATTCCGAATTGGTGTGTTTTTCCGGATTATAGATCATCAATTTAAATCTGGTAAGATGACATGCAGAAATTATACAATTAAAAATATGAAACCATAATTTATGAAATAAAGAGCAATTCTGATCAAATCAGGTATCAAAACTTACAAAAAAAAAAAAAAAAAAAAAAACGCTTACTATTTATTTTTTTACTTTATTAAACATTTCTTTCAATGTAAGTTGTTTAAGTTGTTTCATTTTTTGTGCTAATACTTTCTCTTTAATTCTATAAACAGACATAATTTGTTCAGTTACAAAGTTCCACTGTTTAAGTCCTGTAATTGCTGTGTCGAGAATACCGACTAACTTGTCAATCAAAATTTTTTCGTTTTCAACAACCTCTCTATAGTCCGGATTACGAGCTTTATATATAATGTACAATATATATACAATAAAACCACAACAACCCGTTATGTATAACATTACCAGAAGTCCAGAAAAAATTATTTTAAATAAATAATAAGCTTTTCACAAAGAACTCAAAATTTCAGTCAATCCTGACGTCAGTGGATTTTCTACCTTTTGCACTACCTAAGTTTTAAAGCACCCAGTTAAGTTCACATTTATTGCCAGTGGCTCTAGAAACTTCAAAAAAGGAGTAGATCATATTTTTATCTGCAGACTAAAATTAATTCTCTTCTTATTTTTGAAGAAGCTAATAAAATGCATAACTCTTGGATAATCAGTAACAACCTTCCAGTACTTCAGATTATTAAAGGTATCTAAATGAAAAATATCAATAGCTCTGATTTTGAAAATCTTGTATGGCACTGCCACTAAGAAATTTACTACTGTTTGCTTGAATTACCTGCTGTTTTTCCTGATTTACTAAAAATTTTGGAATTTAATAAATGGAAAGATTGGTTTTGCTACACTCTTTTTCACAACTGTGTTAAGTTTATGTACAAATGAGTGAAATACCCATGGGCAGTAATTACTCAACTCAAATTTGAAACCTGTACTTTTTTTCAAAGAATATAAATTTCAAAAATCACTTTTTTTAGAAACCTCACAAAGGTTTTCCTTTTCCAGCTATGATATCTGAAAGTTTTCCTTTTTAAGAGATGTCAATAACATTATTTCAATGTGTAATTTCATTGAAGCTAGCGATATATACACATCTTCTTAAAAACCAAACTAACACAGATGTAATTACCACTGAGTGTTTAGAAATTGGCTTTATTAATTATAATAAAGTGAAAACTATTTTACAAAAGAACTTTTAAATCTAACATTCTAATACTAATTAATTGGGCTTCTAAATATCAGAAAAAGTCATGCGTTATACTGTTTTGAATCAAATTCTTAGAATCAAAAATATTTGTTCAGGAGTTCGAGTTCACAAATTCAAGAAGAAATTTTGATACCCAAGAAAACTTTAAATAAAATTCCTGATTATTTTATTAAAAATATTTTTCTATAACCTATAAATATTTTGTTGCAATATGATGCCATAGCTTAAACCTAATTAAGATAGATAGAGGCTGATGGCAGCAAATATTTAAGTTTGTATAAAAGTCTTGCGTATTTGTATTATTTAATTTATAAAAAATGTCAATTAATATCTGGCTCCTTTTTTCTTTTAACTATCAAGCCGATTTCTGTTCATTAGTCGTATAATAGTCAATTTGTGTGAAAATGATTATCCTACAATATCTTATTATCTAGCTTAATATTATTATGACTATCCTACAATATCTTTTTCATTTTTTTATCCTCTAACCAGATAATATTATATTGGTACTTTTCCGTTTCGCCGGCGCAAATCTCGCCAAGCAGACTTTATTGGCGACAACATACAGTATACACATAAAAAAATATTAACAAATATTGGTTCTACGATTTTTTTATTTTGAAAGCATAAACATTTTAATATCGCTTAAAATTTTGTAAAAATCTAATAAATAAAGGCAATAAATATGTAAAAAGATATTAATTTAAGAATTTACAATGTTTTCACGGTTCAACATCCTGATTCGCCAGTTCATATCATGTGATTCCATCGCATGTAAACTACGCTAAAAAATTCAATTCTCTCAGTAATTATCTACATTAATTTCAAGTTAAATCTTGATTTGGAATGCAAGAATTATTTCAGTTCGTACGAATAGCTTACTCAGAAATTATGTAAAACCACAGTGCTTTACTTCGCTAGTGCATTCTCATTAGAATTGATGAATTTAACCCTTGACTTAGCCTTCTCTATATTTTTGCCTTCGGGTGAGCGGTGTGATTGCATCCTAATTGACTTAATTACTGCGAATGGCTATAGGGCATAAAGTTGAACTATCTGGTAAAAATTCTATCTAATTGTATGCCAGTATTGAAAGAAACAATCAATCTGATAAGAAATGGCTGCGACTTGTTTTGAAAATGAGACGTAAAAGGCTACCAGCGAGGATATTCCATTTGAAATCAGTTAGACCATTATTGGTACTTTTATTCCCTGCGCCGGCAAAATGGAAAAGTACCATTTTATTTAAGTATTAGAAGTTATGTAGCAAAGTTACTTTACGAGATTTTAAGTAGTCAGTAGCAATCCATCTGAACTATTTTACAGAAGCAAGCTAACATTTCTCTTGACATAGGTACATCCTTTCAGTATTACCCAGAGTTAAGAAAGCATTAAAATAGGCTGTATATAATATATGCATATGCATAATAATTTATTTACTGATTGATTATTGAGTATATTATCTCATTTGAGAAAGTTAGTAGATTTTAGTTAAATGAAGTAACTAATAAGCATTTAAAAATGAATCTTGAAAGTTTTTTAAAAAGAAACATCAAATATGAATCATGAAAAAATTGAAAATGGAAACATTTAAAAAGTAATCAATAAACCAAGTAATTATCATCATTGATCAAAAATTGGTTGACTTTTCAAAGGGAGCTATTCTTTTACATTTTTATAACTTTATTGGTACCTAAAAATACGTAGACATGATCTCCTAAATTTACCAGAGGCATATGTATGTTATATTTTTTATAAATTTTAAATTCAAAAAGCTACTGATAAATTAAGGATAATAAAACATATTTCTTAATTAAGACACAATAACACGCTGAATAAATACTAATTCAGAAGTCAAACAACAAAAATCAGCATAATATTTTCAAAATTTTTACAAGACTAGTTTCGATGGTTTTACCAAACCACCATCCTCAGCTGCAAAACCGCGAAATGAGGATGGTGGTTCGGTGAAACCATCGAAACTAGTCCTGTAAAAATTTTGAAAGTATTACGCTGATTTTTGTTGTTAGACTTCTGAATTAGCATGTTTCTTATGTATAGGATGCTGTGTAAAGTATCAATTTCTCACTGATCACTTCCTAAAAATTTCAGAGGAAAATTGTATCATAACTGCATCAATATTTTCACATAATTTTTCATATTTTAATTTTTTCTTGTTTAACTATTTATAGTTTATAATTGTAAGTTTAGAGAATAATTTTTATTTTTTTAATAGAAACATGTTTTTAAATTTTTAAATATTCATTAATGCATTATTGTCTAACAATCTTAGCAGCTATTGAATTGAATTTAAGTTTAAAAAATCCTATTTGCACATTAATTTTCTTTTGTTATACACAGATATGTGCATTTATTTTTTTATGTATGTATATGCAATAAATTAGGTGTTAACGGCAATAATGTTTAACAGAAATAGCCAGTTCATGAAGAAGTAGATGCAATCATGGCTGGTTGATCACTTTTTATTCTTGATAAAACATTTTTCATAGAAAGACAGCTAATTTGACAAAAGTGTACCTTTCCTTGAATGGTTACATGGATATTTTTACATTTTGGGAAAAGAATAGCTGAGGACAGCAGACTTGGTAAACACAGAAGTTGAGTATAAGAATGCTAAGTATCTAGTATGAAGGCCCAGTTCAAAATAAATTAATTTTGGTTTGTCTTCATTTTGATCAGTTAAGTGTCAGTCACAGGTTTAAAGATTTATGATTGGCTGAAGTGTTATTTGAGTGTTAAACATTATTAGTATTGCTTAAAAACTATTAATATTACTTAAAGAATTATGTAATTTTTAAATGATGAAGTTAAGAGAGAAATTTATAAGCATATTACTGTTTTTATAATGGAAAGGGGGAAATGCCTAAATGGCTATTTTAGATTAGAAATTTAAAGGGCTTTTTCAAATTAAAATTAGGTGTTTGTCTTGCCTATTTTTTAAAAAATTTTGTATATATATATATATATATATATGATTTGTGTTATTGTACATGCATTTATATAATTTTTTAAGTTTAATTTTTGTTTTATTTTTTAATGATTTCAGAACCTGTGCCAGGTGGATGCAATATGGAATTTCCTACTGAAATAGCTCCGTATTTAAGATTAAAAACTGAATCTGGAAGAATTTATTTGGAATATCAACATGCAAATATAGGTTCTGACAGAAATGATCCTCCTCCACTCTGTAGTGCGTCTTCTTCTTTTTTAGTTTATGAAGTGCATGTTTTGTTTCTTAAAGAAAATAATTTTGGAGAAGAAGAATATTTTAACAAAATTGGAATTATGAGTAATTTATCACTATTGAAACAACATTCAGCCAAGGTAGTTTTTGCCCTCCCTTTCTTATAACATTTATTTTCTATTTTACTACCTGATTTTGAATATTTATTGATAGATATTCATGTCTTTATTTCTTAGATATTTATCCATAATGTTATTATTATTTTTATATACGAATTTTAATGCGAAAAATATATTAATTATTATATTAAAACACATTTATTCGCATATTTTCTTCTGATGTCTTAAATTCTTGTATTGTTTCAATATTTATCCATGTAAAGCCAAAATTTCTTAATTGAATTAATTTTCTTTACCACAGCTAGTTACGGCTAAGTTGAGTGTATTTGGATAGTGTAGCATTCCAAAGTGGTATTTATTCATGCCGTTTTTATTACCATTTCTGTTCTAAGTTAAATAAACTACATGCTGAGAAATCAAAAACTGCTAAACTGCACAAGGAAAACTACTACACGTGCACTAGTTCAGCCATTTTGAGCAGCTTCAAAATGGTAATGTTCCAATATCCCAATGATATAATATAGGAATGTTATGAATTGCCCAGCTGCATAAAAATAGCTTCTCTTCAAAGCAGGTTTAGGGTTGCCAGAAAGGGGCAAGGAAAGTCAGAATTGCCAGATTTGTTACAAAATGGCCTTTTGGCAACTGAATTGAAGATATGCCGTAGACGGAGAACATTTTAAGCTATCCGACATTGAAAATGCAACACCAAGAAGGAGTGCCAGAAAGTGATGAAACTTGGCAAACAGAGAGAGACAGCAATAAACAATAAGTGATCTTTATTTCGAAATGATATGTATAATACAGAGCGAGAACTCAGTAGGTTGTAGGACCACCTTGGATATTTATACATGAAGCAATATGTCTAGGTACAGAGTCAGGGAGACTATGGATGGTGTCCCAAGGAATGGCTCTCCATTTCTTGTCAAACCATTTTCCACAGTTCATCTTCTGAATGTGGCAATGGCGTCCATTCACATTCCAAATGTGTTCGATTGGTGAGTGATCAGGAGAGACCGGTGGCTAAGGAAGCATATGTACTCCTTCCAGAGCACATTTGCTGATGAGAACAGTGTGTGGTCAGGTATTATCCTGCTGTTAAAGAGCACTGGACACTCCCTGAAGGTAGGGGACTGTCACCAGCCACAGCACATCATCCTCATATCGCTGGGCTATGATGCATAGTGTCCTGAATACGAACTAGAGGTGACCTAGAATCGTACGCAATTGCACCCCAAGCCAGGATGCTGCATTGTCGTGCTGTGGGATATTCCACAGTTGCTGCCGGATTTAACCTGTCTCTACATCAACGCCACATTCGTATGCGGCGGCAGTCATTGGAGAAACAGAAGCGTGACTCATCCGAAGACACGGCTATGTGTTTTATCATCCACATTGGTCGAGCCCGGCACCATGACGCCAGCGTTGGCATCTATGATGTGGGGTCAATGGCAGTCTTCTTAACGGACATTGCGAGTGCAGGCCACTAGCCACCAATCACAAGCAATTGTTTCTGGTTGATATGAGAATATCCAGGGTGTCTTGAACATGCTGGAGAACAGAGGTAGAAGTGGCTTGTGGGTGCACTACTGCTTGTTGGAGATGGTGTCGATCTACACTTACTGATGTCATTCTGGCTGCACCGACACCCTTCAAACTTAGCCACTTTTCCTTGTTCCAACCATTGTCACAACAGTCAGTGCACAGTGGATGCATCCATATGTGTGTCAACTGAGATTTCCCATATGGACCAACTTGCCCTTCTCAGTCTGATCACCATGCCTCTCGTTAAACTGTCTGCTGGAACCGCCTCCTTTGACAATGGCCTGCCATTTCTGTGCTATTATACACATCCTCAGAGACAAGAACAAATTTTCTATAATGGTTTCCATATCAGAAATAACAGCATGGAAATTGAACATTCTGCAGGTTCCTTCCCTTATATCTTCTTCAACATGTGTTGGAGACCTGTTATTTCACATCATTTGCATAATTCGATGGCGTGCATCTACCCTGAGTTTGCATAATTTTTGGGCCACTCCTTCTGGGTGATGCATTTTCAGTAGTGTAGAATAAATTTTTGCTGGTTTTCCCCAGAACATGCTTAAAGGCAGGTCAGAAAGCTATCTAAACCCTGCCTGTATGCAGAGTAGCAATATATCTTGGGCAAGTATTGTGTGTTTATCCTGAAGAGTATCTTGGAGTGTGTTGAGTTTAGTAGTAGTGCTTTGAGTTTAGAGATTAGCTTGAGAGTGATAGTCGGGAGCTATACTTTAGTGCTTTGTTGTGAAGCTGTCTTCACCGTTATAGCCTGAAGGCTGTGTTGTGATTGTTTCAGCATGTTTGTCATAGTTTTTCAATGTCTGTAATACGTCGTTGGAACTGTCCTGTGAAATACTGATGAATAAATTGTGTTTTGATTCTTCATCAAGTTTTGACATCAAGCACTCCAAATCCACGAACCCATAGAACACAACAGCTGTTTTTAAGGGAGGTCAGTGAAATTTATACATGGTTGTAAATGCTGTATTTGTAATTACAATTTTGATTACCTAATTGTAGTAGCTATTGAATTTATATTAAAAATGAGATGGAATGATTTTTCATATACATTACCTTGTATTTGTCTATTTTAACCAATTAGTTTCTTAACTTCACTTTTATCTGATTGCATTACGTCCATTTATTCTTTTTCATAAAAAGTTGAAATAAGTTGCTTTTTTTAGGGTATGGCATATTTTTGAGACATGCAGTGATTGGATTGTCCAAAGTAACAGAAATACTTAAAAGCATAAACGCTTTTGTAATATGGTGTTGAGTACCTTCTCCATCCAAAACTGCTTGAAATCATTTTGAATGGGCACTAAAAGTTCTGTATGATGGTAATAGATATTTTACATTACTCTTATATTGGAAATTTTTCCAGTTCTGTGAGAGATGCTGAACAGGAAAAACGGGATCTCGCGCTATTTTCCAGCACCGACCGCTGTGGTTCAATAGTATTAAAGTCTTTTGATTACGTAGGCTGGGGAAGTAATGTATTTTTCATCTTCATGTTCTTCGAATTATGATTGAATAGCTTGACTTCAGTGAATTGGGGTATTATCATTTTGAAAGATATAGCTTTCTTCATGGTTACTATCGCACGAGGTTTACTCTTCTCAACTAGAAATCTTTGAATGTGTAATGTCAGAGGCTGATAGTTTGCTCCAAAGCGATTATTTCGTACCTCTTCATGTCCTCATTCTCCCACTTTTGTAAGGCAGGTGATGTCATTGAACTCGAACATTGGGAAGAGGCTAACCTTGTTTGTCCAGACCTTGGTTACCTATAGGAAACAGTGTCTGCATCATTGAATGGAAATATTTGCTTAGATTAGTTATGTAGTAAATGATATTATTTTTATAGGGTAATAATTGGACCTGTAGAAAATCCCAGTATTCAAATATCGAGCATAATTGAACACAACCCAAAGCATAATTAAACTACTACCTTGTTTTACTGTTAGAAGCAAATTATCTGAAGGGTATCTGAAGGGTGATCTCAGCACATAAACTCATCCTGAGGTGAGATCTCATAGTAAGGTTAACTCATCTGAAAGTAGTATATGTTGATCAGCATTCCATATTTTATGTTCCTAATGCCATTTATAGTTTTACCTGTAAAATAAAGATTTTGAGACAACAGCTCTGCTGCAAATATTCTACTTGTGTGATTCCCTTTATATTTATATTATGTGTCAAAGCTGGGTTCTGTAAATGCATATCAAGCTTAGCTAGCTTTTCATTTTAACATAACCGTTCTTTTTTTTACATGCCACTGACTCTGTCAGTAAGTTTCATTTCCCTATCACAACAATGTTCCTTAGACTGTTTTGCCAATAATATTGTATGCTGTCATAACTTTAGATGCAGTGTCTCTTGATATACATGAGAATTTAGTATCTCAGGTTACAGGTGCACGGACAATCTGACCTCTTTTAAACTTGGTCAAGTGACTTATTTTCTTTCATTTATGAACTAAGTTTTACTAACCACATTTGAAGTTTGCAGTTTTATATAACCTTCTGAATATGCATAAAATGATCATATTAAAAAAGTGATGGCTACTTTTACAGGTTATTATGTAATCAATGGAAGCAAAATTACCTTTTTTTTATCACAGTGTTTCCATTATTTTGGAAAGATCTTGTATGTGCTATGTGCCTCTCTGGAGTAATATTTTTGATTGTAAATGGAATTGGTGTAGGTGAACTTGAATATTATCGAAATGCACCATTGCTAAAAACACATCAAATTATTTTAATGGTTAAATAATTAATAAATAAATAGACATTTTTATTTGAAAAAAAATTGTCTTTAGAAAATTGCAAGTTTTAAGGATTCAAGTTAAGGATTAAGTTTAAGGATTTTAATTTGTTTTAATTTTTTAATAGAAATAATTTAGTTCATATTTGAAGATTCTTGATCTAGAACTATATTCTCTTTTGTATTTTTATAATGGCATTTTAAAAGTTGGCTGTCTTTTGTATCAGAGAAAGTAGTTTAAATGTATTTGTTTTTAATTGCATCCTTCTGAGCATGGAAAGCATACTAAAGTCTAGAATAAGTAACATAAAATTAAAATAAATGTTCTGGAAATTGAAATTAAAGGTTTTATAATTTCATTTAGGTAACTATTGATACTATATCAGAAGTATTTTAGAATTTCTCCCATGTTTACTTCTTTGTATAAAAATATGATTTATAGCATAATACTCATAAGTTACTTAAATTCGATTTTCTGTTGTCCCATAATTCATATGGTGTTTTTTTCTATGGCTTTACTTGGTAACCTGCATTGAATATGCAGCAATAGTTGCTGTTTCAACCGCAAAATATTTTTTATGGGTTTAACAGCATAGCCTTTTTTATTGCTTTTAGCGAACAATTTTATTTTTCTACAGTGCAGTTTTGAGCTGGAGAATAAGGACCCAAAGTTTGATTAAAAAGTTTTTGTAGGTATTTTTCAGTAAATTTGTT